GTCACAGACTGAAACAGGCTCCAGGCTCTGAGCTGGCAGCCAGCACAAAGCCCGACGCGGGGCTCGAACCCACGAACCGCGAGATCATGACCTAAGCGAAAGTCGGACGCTTAACCGACTAAGCCACCCAGGTGCCCCTGGAATCTCCTTTTTAAAGGAGATTCTTTTAAAGAAATTAATACCAACAGTCCTAAAAAAAAAAAATACCTTGAAAATATTTAACCTATCATTTGACATTTCAGCCATCGTCTTAATAACGTTTAGGCTATTACATATGAGTCTCTGTTTTATTTGTTAGGTCTTACTTTGGTGTCTGCTCCCCATTTGGCACGATCTTATCACCATTTATTTCCTTTGGATGCTTTTCAAGAGATTCCTCTAGAAGAACATAATGGAGAAAGGTATAGTGTTTTGATTAATTTGTATCTGTTGTACACAGTAATGTTTGAGTGCATTGTTACTGCATATTAAAAGATAGTCATATTAATTTGGGCAAGATGACTTCTGATACAGAGAATGAGATGGTAGAATACCTTGGTTATGACTGAAATGACTTATTATTAGAAAGATCTGGATTTCCAGGAATGAATTTCCCTAAGCCCACCTATGTAGAGTAAGTGTAGTTGTATACTGATATATCAGCTCTCCAAAACAACAAAAACGCCCTCATTTGTAGCCTTAGCCAATTTCTGTGGTGTAAAACCAAAGGATTTATCCAGAAGGCCTAATAGTATGGTCTAACGTCCTTTAGCTGTTTCTCTCCTAAAGAATATTTTCTACTATTGAAGGACAGAACTTTGTGGATTGAAAGGGACTGTCAGGTGCCTAACATAGTTAGGAAATATAAACCCACACTAAAGTTTATTGTTGTGAAATTTTAGAATACACAACAAAAAACTAATTGTGAGCATTTCTGGAGAGGGAAAATTAGGTCACATAATCTGAAAATAAGATTATTTTGCTTCTTAGCAATACTGGATGCTAGAGGGAGCAATTTCCTTGAAAATTTGGAGTGAAAATTATTAACAACCTAAATTACATACCTGGCAAACCTATCAATTAAATGTAGGTAGAATAAAGACATTTTCAGACTTGTGAGGCCCCAAAAAGAGACTTTGTGGGGAAGCCATGGAAGAGATGATTCAAAGGAACTGAGAAAAAATGACTGGTAGAGAATAGAAATATTTATCTAAACAAAGCCCTAGGATGGTGATGAGGGGAGATTACAGAATGACACTTGTGTGTCAGATATGGAGAATAAATAATCCAGCTTGGAGAAGGTCTGAAGGTTCTAGCTAGGAGAGTTGTCACCTGGAGGATGAATTCTTGATGTCCGTGAACACAGAAACTTTGAGACTTCTCAGGGAAGGGTTGGGGCTGAGTTATTATGTAATTATATAGAAAACGAAGCTTGTGGATCACAATATAGTCATTAATGCCACACAAAATTTTTTTTTGCTTATTTATTTTGAGAGAGAGAGTGGGGCAGAGAATCAGCCGTCAGCAGAGTCCCATGCAGGGTTCTATCTCACAAACCATGAGGTCACGACCTGAGGCAAAATCAAGAGTCATATGCTTAACCAACTGAGTCACCCTGATGCCCCTAGCAAGAAACATTTTGAAAAGAGGAAGAGTTTTATTACGTGGCTCAGCTTAATATGTTTATATAGTCATAATAAACCAAACATTTAATAATGTTCTGTTCAAAATTAGAAAGAGTCAAGAATTAGTTGTGTGTGTACATGCTGTTGGTTCAAGAAGGTTGAAAGAGAATTAAATTATCGTCTTCCATAGTAGGAGGCTTATAGCCAATGCCAGAAAAAAAACAAAAGATTCCCTATAAGCGTGGGTAACTATCAAACAGTTAAAAGTTTTGAAAGTGAGGAACTGGAAATGAAGTGGGGGTGGGTGGGGAGAGGGCCTCTATTTTTTGTAGTAAGCTTTGGAAACTTAAAAAAAAATTTTTTTTACGTTCATTTTTTTTTTATTTTGAGAGAGAGAGCTGGGGAGGGGGGGAGAGAGAGAGAGAGAGAGAGAGAGAGAGAGAGAATCCCAAGTTCTGTCAGCACAGAGCCCAACACTGGGCTCAAAACTCATGAACCACAAGATCATGACCTGAACCAAAGTCGGATGCTTAACTTACTGAGCCACCCAGGTGCCCCAAGCTTTTTTGTTTATTTATTTATTTTATGAGAGAGAAAGAAGCAGAGAAAGAGAGGGGAAGGGAGAGAATCCTAAGCAGGCTCCACGCTATCAGCACAGAGCCAAATGCAGGGCTTGAATGCACAAACTCAGAGGTCATTAGTCTATATCAAGAGCCAGATGCTTCAGCCACCCAGGTGCCCCCGTTTTGGGAACTTGTAATTCTTTAAACCATTCCTTGAAAATTAAGCCCTTAGGCCTCCCCAAAGAAATTAATTTCTCTTCCATCCATATAGAATTGTATCAGCTATGTGCTATCTTTGGGAGAGTTGTAAAATAGTCACTCAGAGTATTTTCTGTAGGGCTTAATTCCCTGGTGGAGTCACAATAAGGGAAGTGTGTTCATATTTAACCTTGATAAAAATAAATTTAAAATTTTTATGACTATTTTTTAGCCCAAACAATTTTTGTTAGTTGAAGTATATTTGACATATAATATCCTATTATTTTCAAGTGTACATCGTAGTGACTCGATTTTTTTCCTAGTTTTTTTTTTTTTTTTTTTAATAATTTATTGTCAAGTTAGCTAACATAAAGTGTATATACAGTGTGTTCTTGGCTTCGGGAGTAGATTCCTGTGACTCATCACTTAGATACAACACCCAGTGCTCATCCCACCAAGTGGCCTCCTCGATGCCCATCACCCACTTTCTCCTCTCCCCGCCCTCCCCCCTCCCTACCTCCCTCAGGTTGTTCTCTATACTTAAAAGTCTCTTGGAGCCATTGGATGGCTCAGTCTCTTAAGTGTCAAACTTCAGCTTAGGTCATGACCTAAGGTCTTATGGTTTGTGGGTTTGAGTCCCGCATCGGGCTCTGTGCTGACAGCTCAGAGCCGGGAGCCTGCTTCAGATTCTCTGTCTCCCTTTCTCTCTCTGCCCCTCCCCCGATCAAAATCTGTTTCTCTCTCTCAAAAATAAATAAACATTAAATAAATAAATAAATAAATAAATAAATGAAAGTCTTTTATGGTTTGCCTCCCTCTCTGTAACTATATATATATAGTTACATACATATATATATATATATATGTAGTTTATATATAAATTTTTTTTGTCTTTCCCTTTCCCCATGGTCTTGTTAGGTTTCTCAACTTCCTCCTATGAACAAAAACATGATATCTGTCTTTCTCTGAAAAATTAAAATTTTTTTAAAGTAGAATTTTGCTTTGTGAGATGACCTTGGGATGTACTGTATAATTTTCTTAAGTTATCGGTATTCTTGATTCTTTCTCTTAAAAGTCATATGTAAAGATAATTACTTATTAATTACAGGACTCTTGTTACTGACATTTTACAGAGATGTTTTAATGAGTGAATTCCTAACAAAATAATTCTTGAACTTTCTTTTTCAGATTTTGTTATGGATGCCAGGGGGAATTGAAAGACCAGCATGTAAGTTCATGTGCTTTCTAAATTCTAAGTATCGTCTAAGAAATACTGAGGAAATAGCATTAGAAGTTTATATTACATTGTTAAAAACCAGGCTAGTATCAGGTTATCCCTCAGAAGGGATATTAGTAGGTAGAGGGTAAATGAAAGCAAATTATTTTAAATAGGGGGCGCCTAGGTGGCTCAGTCGGTTGAGCGTCTAATTTTGGCTCAGGTCATGATGTAGCAATTCCTGAGTTCGAGCCCCACATGGGACTTGCTACTTTCAGCACAGAGCCCTCTTTGGATCCTCTGTCCCCCTCTCTCCCTCCCCTTCCCCCACTTGCGCTCTCTTTCTCAAAAATAAATAAAAATTTAAAAATTAGTTTGGGGCGCCTGGGTGGCTTAGTCGGTTAAGCGTCCGACTTTGCTTGGGTCATGATCTCGCGGTTCGTGGGTTCGAGCCCCGCGTCGGGCTCTGTGCTGACTGCCAGCTCAGAGCCTGGAGCCTGTTTCAGAGTCTGTGTCTCCCTCTCTCTCTGACCCTCCCCTGCTCACGCTGTTTCTCTCTCTCTCTCTCCTAGAAATAAATAAAAATAAATAAACTAAATAAAAAAATTAAAAAAAAATTAGTTTAAATAGCTATTTCTTATAATTCTCCATAACAACATTTCAGTATTTTAAATTGTCTTTAGTTTGGAAGGTAAAGTGCATTTAGTTTGGAAGTATTGAAAGTTTTTTCTCCATACTAGACTTTAGCTCTGTCACAACACCCTTTGAAGTTACCATTTAAGGTGGCTTCAGACCAGAGGTTGTTCCCCAATTGTGCCAATGAGGAAATATTTTAAAATTTTCAAAGGGCACTTTGAATGTATACACTTACATAAAGATGCAGATAAGATCACTGTCTAGTTTTTATTAGTTATGTGTCCATATTAAAAACTATACTTTATACACTGTATAAAAATTGGAAAGATTACTTGCCTGTTTTACTCACATTTTTTTTTTTAATTTTTTTTTTTTAAATGTTTTATTTCTAGGAGAGAGAGAGAGACAGTGTGAGCAGGGGAGGGTCAGAGAGAGAGGGAGTCACAGATTGAAACAGGCTCCAGGCTCTGAGCCGGCAGTCAGCACAGAGCCCGACGCAGGGCTCGAACCCACGAACCGCGAGATCATGACCTAAGTGAAAGTCGGACGCTTAACCGACTAAGCCACCCAGGCGCCCCTACTCACATTTCATAAAACAGTTTTATTACTTTTTACGTGCCTCTGACATCAGTAGCTTCATTGTCACTACAACCACCTTTGAATCATTTGACTGCTTTTAAGAACCCATCTTTACTTCTGTGCTTTTTGAGATTTAATAATTTTCTTAGCTGGTATGGTGCTGCCTTGGTAATTTTACCCCATGGTACAAGTATCCCTATATGTAATACTGGTAGAATCATGGATTTTTAAATTTTGTCTTAAATGTGGCTTTTTCCCATATTAAATAGTTAAATAAAAGGGGAATATAATTTCTGCAGTTGTGAGGTCATTCCCTAGCAATAACTAAATCTGTGTTAAAATTTTGTGCTTTTTTGGGGTGCCTAGGTCGCTCAGTCGGTTGAATATCCGACTTTGGCTCAGGTCACGGTCTCGCGGTTCATGGGTTCGAGCCCTGTGTCGGGCTCTGTGCTGGCAGCTAGCTCAGAGCCTGGAGCCTGCTTCCAGTTCTTTGTCTCCCTCTCTCTCTGACCCTTCCCTGTTCATGCTGTCTCTCTCTCTCAGATATAAATTAAAAAAATATATTTTTTGTGCTTTTCTTTTTATTTTTTTAAGATTTTTTAAAGTTTGTTTTGAGTGAGAGAGAGAGAGAGGGAATCCGACGCAGGTTCTGTCCTGACAGCTGTCTCATATCAATTAAGTTTATTTATTTATTTATTTTGAGGGAGAGAGTAAGAGAGAGAGAATCCCAAGCAGGCTTTGCACTGACAGCTGTCTCATATCAATTAAGTTATTTTGAGGGAGAGAGTAGGAGAGAGAGAATCCGAAGAAGTCTCTGTGATGACGGCCCAGAGCAAGATCATGACCTGAGCTGAAGTCAGTACTTGGACACTTAACTGACTGAGCCACCCAGGGTCCCCTGTACTTTTCTTTTTAATCAAACCAGATAAATGACTTCTCTAAGCATTTGAAACCAGCACTACTTTCAAGTTCATGTGTCTTCCCCAGACATTTACATAAAGTGAAGTATTGACAGTGTCTTACAATATGACAGACTTTAAGGAGTCAAAGTAATTCTCTCATTTCTAAGGAATAGCTTTTTGGGGTTTTTTTTGGAAAATTAACCACTTTCAATTTGAGAATAAATAGTATAGTGGAATTACACAAACTGACAGGCATGTAGAAGAACAAATGTGAATGTCTTCTACTGTGCTGTACTTAACTCTGGGAAACTATTTTGTAAATTTTCTTTTCTTCTTTTCACTGCAGGTCTATGTTTGTGCTGTGTGCCGAAATGTTTTCTGTGTGGACTGTGATGTTTTTGTTCATGACTCTCTCCACTGCTGTCCTGGCTGTATTCATAAGATTCCAACTTCTTCAGGGATTTGATCCCAGCGTATAGTGCACGTTGTATGTGTTAAAAAGACATCTGCAACTATAAATAAAATGATTTTTTAGAAGAAGCTCCAGTTAAAATACGAAGATCAGTTTGAAAGGAAAATATGGCTTAAGAACTTTTTGGTGAGAAAATATGGGATTGGGAGCACCTGGCTGGCACAGTCAGAAGAGAATGAGACTCCTGATCTCAAGGTTGTGAGTTTGAGCTCCACTTTGGATTACTAAAAGATAAAATAAACTTTAAAAAAAAGTAAAAAAAAAGAAAATTTAGGATTTTATTACATTTTAAAATTTATGTCTTGTCATAGAACTGCCCAGAATTCAATAGTACTTACTCAATTTTGTTTTCTATTATTTTGAGTTATAATGTTTTCAGAGTCATTATACACGATTGTATTTGTTACTTATAGTTATTAAATTGATTTGATAATTCTACTGCCTTATAATTAAGTAAATGAAGAATCTGTAGTTTATTTTTATTCAATTTTAGTGTAAAAAGGAAATTAAATATAAGTATGAATTCACTTTGAGATGAAAATTTAGCAGTAGTTAGGGGCCTCTGGGTGGCTCAGTCAGTTAAGGGTCTGGCTTTGACTCGGGTCATGGTCTCGTGGTTCATGGGTTCAGGCCCCACATTGGGTTCTGTGCTGATAGCTGGGAGCCTAGAGCCTGCTTTGGATTCTCTTTCCTTCTTTCTCTGCCCCTCCCTCTTTCATGCTCTGTCTCTTAAAAATGAATAAATGTATTAAAAAATTTAACAAAGAATATTAAGCAGTAGTTAGGAAATTATTAGTGCTACACCCACCTAAGGGGGTCTCTTTAGGCTTAGCTAAACAATTAGAATATAATTACAGAATTCATGCATCTAAAATTATTTATAGCTGTGACCAAAAAGGGTCTTTTTAAGTTTAAACATTCAAACTTAAAAGATTACCATGGCCACATGTAGCACCAGTATACTCAAAGGGATAATAAACAGGAAAAGCGGACTGCAGTAGGGCAGCTTCTGGCAGTCCTTCTTAGCAGTGGAAGTCCTATAGCAGTTCACCCAAAACAGTTGCGGGCAAGGTGATGAGATCCTTCACAGGCCTCAAGGAGCCACTACCTCGCTCTTTTTTTTTTTTTTTTTTTACTTAAATTGTTTATTGTTAAGTTGGTTTCCATATAACACCCAGTGCTCATCCCCACAAATGCCCTCCTCCATGCTCATCACCCCCCTTCCCCTTTCCTGCACCCCCATCAGCCCTCAGTTTGTTCTCAGCATTCAAGAGTCTCTCCTAGTTTGCCTCTCTCCCTCTCCCCCACCATTTTCCCCCTTCTTCTCCCCCATGGTCCTCCATTAAGTTCTCCTAATCCACCTATACATGCAAACATATGGTATCTGTCCTTCTCTGCCTGACTTATTTCCCTCAGCATAACACCCTCAAGTTCCATCCATGTTGCTACAAATAAGGAGCCATTATCTCTAAGTACAACTTGAGGTTCCCATCTGATTATTGTGCATTCAGTCCAGATACAGTTTAGTAGCCAGGAGTCCTTTGTGCCACTGTAAAGTTGCCTAGAAACATAATTGACATTCCTGCTTTCATCAGTTAGCATGATAACACAGCTAGAAGGCTTTTAACTGAAGGGGACATTGACATGCCGTAAATGAAAAGGTCTTCACTTTGATAAGGTAAGCCTGTTGTATCCTTTGTAATAATTGGTAACAGAGTATGTCTAATACCACCATTTTGTTTGTGTGATATGAAACTGGTTTACCTTTTTGTTCAGGCTAATGAAGCCAAAGTTGTGGTGTCTATTCCTGTTAGCCTCATTCAGGTTCATACTCAAGGATTATTTAACATAATCCTCTTCAACTTTCCCACTGTTTTCACCAGAAAAACTTAAGTGAGAATGTATGATGAGGTCTGTATTTCAGGTTCAGTGTAGATACACCATTATAGGCAGAACTCTTTTCATGATATGCCCCATTGAGAGTTATTTAAGTTTCCATAGCAAAGGTATATTTATTTTAAATCTTAAACTTTAGGTTGAGTTTCACTATGATATTTATAGTTTTATAAAAAATAATTCTTAGTGAAGAACATTATCAGTAAAGATGATATAATCCTACCTGAGGGAGTCTATTCAATGAATCTTGGGGCACCCAGGTGGCTCAGCTGGTTAGGCATTCAACTCTTGATTTCAGCTCAGGTCATGATCTCACGATTCAGGGGACTGAGCCCTGTGTTGGTCTGTGCTGACAGCGCAGAGCCTGCTTGGGATTCTCTCCGTCTCTCTCTGCCCCTCCTCACCTCTAAATGAAGAAATAAACTTTAAAAACTAAAAAAAAAAAGTCTTGAACTGAGCCCACGGGTATGCATTTTAAATAGCGTGCACACACACACAGGAAACAAAATGTGACCAAATGAAAATAATAGATCTTTCTCCCATGAATCTTACTCTCTGAGCCTAGATCCAAATTGTTCTTTATGTGGAAATAGATTTCAGCTTTAGTAAACTTCTGTCTTCCTTCTGTCAATAGAGGTTATCAATAGCTTCTAGGAGATTCCTTAACATGATTACAGTATTCTATCCCCCTCACCTGATTTAGAAGAAAGGCCATGAGGGGTCACCTTTTGAAAAGTTATTAGACCTGTATTAGAGATACACCATCACTACCTTATATAAGAGGGATATTCAGTGTTCCCCCCCCTTTTTTTTTTTTAGCTCTTTTATCTCTTTCTACACGTTTGCATTTCATGTGCATACTTAATAAGGGTAAGGTGAATATTTTAGTTAGGCTTAAGGAGGAATTTCTGTCTCACAATTATAGAGAAGATACTGGCTTGTTTAAGATGACAGAAAAAGGAGCGCCTGGGTGGCTCAGTTGGTTGAACATCTGGCTCTATTTTGGCTCAAGTGATGATCCCAGGGTCATGGGACCGAGCCCTGTGTTGGGGGCTTATAATTCTCACTCTCTCCGTGCCTCCCCTGCTCATGCATGCTCTCTCTAACAAAAAAAAAAAAAAAAAAAAGATTATAGAAATAGAAATGTTCATAAGACTTAGTTCTGGTCTCTACTTTCCCTCTTGGAATTTCACAATATACTACAATAGTGAAGGAAACTATTTAACATTAGAGATCTTTCTGAATGGTATGGATTTCTTAGTACTGCTGTTGAATTAATGAGAAAACTTTTTAATACTTAACATTCATTATGAAAATTAGATTTATGTTAAATGCTTTTAAATGCCTATATTTTACTTCATTTTTAAAAAATTTTTTAATGTTTATTTTTGAGAGAGAGAGACAGAGCATGAGTGAGGGAGGGGTAGAAAGAGAGGGAGACACGGAATCTGAAGCAGTCTCCAGGCTCTGAGCTGTCAGCACAGAGCCCAACATAGGGCTTGAACCCATGAACCAGGAGATGATGACCTCAGCTGATGTTGGACATTTAACCAGCTGAACCACCCAGGCACCCCTTATTTCATCTTCTTTTTCATTTGGCCTGACAATCTTTGTTTTTTAATTGCAACATTTAGTCCATTTATACTTAATGTCCCTTCTGATATATTTGGGTTTAAATTTACCATCTATGTGCTATTTGTTTCAACTATTCTATCTTTATTTTTCTTGTCTTTTTTTGGAATGGCAATTTTCTACCATTTTATGTTTTTCCTTGTCTAACTTGGAAATTGTATACTTGTTTTTATTCTTTTAGCATTTATCCTAGAATTTATAATACACACCACTGTTTAACTTGAGTCCTCTAGAATAGAACTTGAGGCAGAAAATGAAATTATTGGGAGGTATAGATTCAGGGAAGTGAGGGTAGAGAAGAAAATGGAAAGTCCTGATGCAATGTGTTCCTACAGTGGCCCAGGCTTGGTCATGAGCTGTGAAGTCACAGGCATCTCCCAGCATGCAGCGTTTACTCGGAGTGCATGACTTCTCCAGGAGGCCCCTCTGAGCAGTTCTTCAAAGGGAGGAAAGAGGGCAGTGTAATTTCCTAACTTCTTCCATCTCACATTTCCCATTGACCAAGGCTTGCCACACAGACTTATCACCTGGTCCGTTGCAGCTGCTCAGAAAGCCAGACCTCCTGCTCAGTGGTGCGGCATTGCAGCTAACTCTGGAAGGTGGGGGGATCTTGGGTAGGATAGGCTTGGTATATGTCAGTTTGGAGGCCAGCAAGAGCCCGGAAGGAAGGAAGCAGCCATGGGAATGTAAAGAGGCATTAGAAGTTTGTGTTCAGGGGTGCCTGGGTAGCCCAGTCGGTTAAGCATTCAACTCCTGATTGCGGCTCAGATCATGATCTCGTGGCTCGTGAGCTTAAGCCCTGCATTGGGCTTTGTGCTAACAGTCCAGAGCCTGCTTGAGATTCTCTCTCCGCCCCACCTCTACCTCTTCCCTATTCATGTTCCCCAACCCTTTCAAAAATAAATAAATACACTTAAAAAAGAGTTTGTGTCTGATACTCATTCATAACGTCAGAATCTAAAGTTGATATGTGCCTTTACACTCCTCACAGATAATACAGTAAACCTCATTTACCTTCTTCCTCATTTCTGTATTACTGTCATTGTATATATAGTCATTTCCTTCATTTCAAAGAACAATTTTTGTTTTAATCAGTCATTGTTTATTAAGGTCTAATTACATATTTACCACTTTCATGATTCTTCATTTCTTCCTACATCTCAGATTTATTTAGGATCATTTTCCCTCAGTTACATTCTACAGAATATACTGGTGGTCAAAGTATACAGTGTGCTACCTATTTATGTAAGGAAGAAGGAAAGTTCAGATTATTTATATTAGTGCAAAGATACAGTAGAAAATAGAGAAAATCAATGAATCCAAAGTTGGTTCAACAAAATTGACAAATCTTTAGCTAGATTAACCAAGAAAAAAGAAGACTCATATTACTGAGATCAAGAATGAGGATCCCCACAGTGGACATAGAGATTACTTAAAAAACAAACAAAACAATATGCCTTAAGAATGCCTGACTGGCTCAGGGGGTAGAGCATGCGATTTGATCTCAGAGTTGTGAATTCAAGCCCCATGCGGGGGTTGG